TATGGTATAATTTGTTTTAAATGTGGCTCAATGCATTATATCACAGTTAACTACAGGCTAAAAGAATTAGAAAGAATACTAAATCTAGATCAGAGGTTATCTAGATTTTATTGTTATTTCATCTACCTTTCGAAGAATGATATTTCGCTTTTACTTCTGGAGTACTACTTCTATGACTACTACTACGAGTACTACTGCTAGTAGCAGTGCTACTGCTGAACCCAGGACATGGAGAATGCAACAGGATGTTTATGCATGTTTATCCACTCTTTATTGCTCCAAAATTATAATTAGATATTGAGGTTATATAGGGGATAATGAAAGGTTTATACAAAATCTAACTTCAGTCAAATAGAGCTTCCCTCCCCTATTTTTTCCCAAAATTATGCTCAGCTGCAGAACACCCATCAGAGCATCTCCATACATCTTGAAGAGGAGAAATGGGGAGAGGAGGAGTCTTTATTCCTTTAGTATTTGATTTAAGATGTCTAAGAACAAAGGGCTGGATACAAACAGGAACAAACAGATTTAGTTTGAGCTGAAACCTCACAATTCCTATTCATCCAGTCGTCTCCACACTTCATTGGAAGTATTTGCATGGTGAGCAGCAGAGGTCATCTTCTGTGATGCTTGGGGAGTTACCTTTGGCTTGCTTTCATAGACTTTAGCAAGACAAAATATCCACTGAAATCTCACACCTGTGCCAAAACTAAATTTCAGGATGTTCCATTTGAATCAATCCAGCTGGAAAATCACCTCAAAACAGGATCTTAGAGAAATTCTGAAGCCTTTATCTGATATGAGTTTTTTTAATAAGATTTTTTTTAAACAAGACACTGAATTTGAACTTCATAAGATACGGTTTTTTTTTTTTTGTCTAATAAAATATTGGATAATTCACAATCCTATACAAACTAATGGATGCTCAGGTAAAAAGAAATGCTTAGGCAAAAATGTTCTCATAACACGTAATGCTTAGAAAACATCATTCAAAGATATACTTATTATCCTGTAGTTTTGATCATGTAAACACCAATCTTTCCAGAGGTAATTCTTAGTTAGGTAAAATTAGACACTGCTGGAATATATTCAAATACAAAAATGAAGAATTATGCCCTTGTTGCTTGATCTTCGGAAAGGTGAAGACTTCAGCATCAAAAATCATAGTTCTGAAGGTTGAGCAGGTAGTCATGATAGGGCGCATAGCAAATGATTAAGGGGACTATTCTCAATCTTTTTTATAAATGGCATGTCACCTTAACACAGAAAAGTACACCAGATATGTAACTCAGACATGAAACAGTGACACTAAGGTCTCCAAATTGTGTAGAAAAAAGCAATTTTTCATCTTATAAACAAAGAAACAAGCACTCAGTGTTCAAAACTTTCAGTCTCACTGAGTACATTTTAGTTCCATTAGGTGGTCATCAAAGCATCCCATAAATTGAAGAGTGTGTTCAGCTCATGTTCATGGGCTGAATTCCATGGCTGAATTCTAAGTGCAGGACCATGTTTTCACATCCTAACGAAGTACAGCCAGTGCAACCCAACTGTGCAAACAATACTTGAATGCTTCAAAGATTTTGTTTCTGTATAAAATGCTGGTGAGAGGACAGCAAAATAGGAAGCTTTCATGGAAATGGATTCTGAACAGAAGATGATACACAAAATTTTAATGAGTTGTTACATGAAGTACTAACTCTTCTTTATGCTTCAAAGCTAATTTGTAAACTTATTCTCAAAACAACTGCTGTGATGTCCTGAATGTAAGTCTGCCTGTGAGGAAATCATTTTAATTTGAGCAGTATAGCAAATCCTAAGGAAACGTTAACCATGTTTTGCCCCAGGACAAAGTGTTCAGAGGCTCTTTTCCACTGCTAGAGGCACCACAGCCACAGTCAAAATGCATAAAGAGTTGCCATGTGTAGAGCACTGTCATTCAATGACCTAATTTTCTAATTTTTTTCAAACCCAGAACTTTTTGCACTTCTTCATAAAGAAAGCGCTTCTGTAAAAGAAGTCTGTGCTCCTTCTGTTTAACAGCTATATGTGCATGCCAGGAATCTTTGCCAACTACTACTTAATGTAATTAAATAATTAAAAATTATAAATATTCTGATTATTGACTAGCTATTTTGTTTTGCATTTGTCAAATGAAGACAAGCAGCCAACGGGATAAACAGATGTGAACACAGAGTAGCCTCAAAAGGGCTGCCACAGCTTGTGTGAAATAGTGCAGGAAGCAGTGCAAGGAGCACGCTCTGTAATCCAATTAATTTTCTGTTAAAGGACATGTAGAGAACCAGCAGCAGCTGCATGTAGGTCCTGTTTCCTTCTTCTCCTAGAATCTAAAGTCTAAAAGCATGGCTGCAGAAAGTGGAACGTTTCATGGAAAAACACTGGATTTCCCAGCATGCTGGATGTTGGGTTTCCTCAGGGGAGCAAGGCGGCAATGATGCTGCTCCTTAATGGGAAACTTTATTCTTCCCACAGCTGCATTACTGTAGGCTCTCTGCAGATTCAGGTAGGCTATTCCTCCTGAAGTCCTGTTTTTTTCTAGCTTTCCCCACACAGAAGGACAACAGAATTCTGTGTGTTCCCTGTGTTGTTGCTACCCACACATCAAGAACCCCTGATCTATGGGCCTGATTAGGAGAGGCAGCATGTCTGGTTTTGATGAGACACAAGCTCTGGAATCCACAGAAACCAGGCTGAAACAGTGCTGAAGCCAGACTTGTTTCAGTGAAGGAGTCTGTTTTGAATTATGCTTCCTATTAGCAGTAGATTTAAAAATTAGGGAACTATGAGTAAATCTGGAACTTAACAAGGCTTAAAATAGGCTTGGGTCACAAATCTTGCTAACTGTGTAATGGACTGGTCTGCAGTGCAACAACAAGGAGGTTTTCAAGAAAAAAAAAAAAAGAGTAGAAAAACCTCATAGTGACTAAAATGAGTAGAAAAACCCCACAGTGACTAAAATGACCCCATAGTGACTAAAAGGGGGGGGAGATGGGAGAAGGGAATAATAAAGGTAAGTTATTTCTTCTCATTTTGTGTTCTGAAACTCAGGGAAAGGCCACACAAATGGTAAACATATGGAATAAATTATCAGGAAAAGTGATCGCAAAACAAAGACTACAGCAGAATTCAAGTGACACTTTTCTGGAACAGAAATGGATGGAGCCATAAAGTCAACACAAGAAAGTAGGATTATGATTAACCTGAAAAAGGGCAAGCAAATTAAAGTACAAGCCATTTTCCCATTCCTTATGGCAGTTTCCCAAGGCTGCACATCTGAAATGCATAATTTAATGTAAGCCCAAAGAGCCCTCCTTACTAACCACTGAAAAATTAATCAAATGTTTTCATACCAGAAGATAGTAGGTGTTTATATAAATAGAGGCAAGATATATTTATACACATATGCACCCAGATGAATGTGCATGTTTATTTTGAAATTAGATAACATAAAAATCATTATGTGACATTATACAGGTCAGTTAGTTAACTGCTTGAGTTTCATTCACGCTGGCCATAAAACCAGGTAATAAAGCTGCAATGCTTTGAAAACACAGATGTATTTGAAATGAGTTGTTCCATGTAATTAAAAGAGATGTGAGAGGTCAGGAGAACAATATAACCTAACACCATACCTACACTGCAAACTTCAGGTGCCACAGCTACATCAAGCAGAAATGAAAAACTGTTTAATACCTGATTGATGCAGCTGTACTGCCAGCTGTGCCACAAGTGGTAATATAATTACAGTAGTATAAATGTGGAATTTCATAAGTGTAACTTCTCTTCCTTGCTGTTTTTCTATAGTGGTATGACATACAGTTGTGCTAACATAACTGCAGCTCTAACACAAACATCATTCTCCAGTAATAACACAGATACAGCCAAAACCACCAAGGTCACAGAAGGCACATGGTCAGAGTTTACTTTAACTATTTCTACAGTAAACATATTACATCACTGATGTGCTCCAAATACATATGACTAGAGATCTGTGGGAGAAGTATATCCAAGCTGCGCCATAAGCAAAACCTGCACAAAGTTGTCCGTTCCAACAGCCCACCCGCGTTGCTTAGAAACAGCATCTCTTCCTGCCGCTGCCCACGCATGTGCGCTAAGACATCAGACCAACAGGCCAGCTGCCACCGCTTCACTTTCCGTTTCTTATTTCACTGCATGCCTCACTCGTGTATGCGATTTCCTCAAGTTCTCTGGCTTCATTTTGCCAGCTGCAAACACAAGGACACCGCACAGCTGCAGCATTAGGCTGGGCTGCAGTGGCCTACCCCAACCCCTCAGTCTGGCAACGACACCAGGTCTGCTACCCCAAACCCACGCTCTAGCAATGACAGCAGGGCGGGCTGGAAGAGGTGAAACCGGCAAAGAACCTTGTTTCCTGGACAGCGCCATCCCACCGGCTATCAAGTGATTTGAAGCCAGCACCGTGCTCCAAATGCAGGCAGGAAAAGTACTTAAGAGAAACCAGGTCTAACATTTATCACTCTTCATATCCGGCTACGCCCCAATCTGTGGCTGTGAGGGGAAGCCGGAACCACCAACGCTCAGCTCGGGAAGGGCCTGAGGCTCGGGCGGGACAATCAATGAACCAATCAGAGAGGAACTTCCGGGCACTCTTATCCAATAGCCAACTTCTGCTGGGCTTCGGGGCGGAGGCGAGCAGACGACTAAAGCTGAGCGCCATGTTGGATTCTGGCAGGAGGGAGGGGCCTACGCCGCGCTCTCACGCTGAATGGCTGCCGGCAGGGGTCACGTGGGATGCAGCCCTCTCGGCGGGGCGTTGCTAAGGGGACCCTCAGCCGCGGGTGTAAACATCGGGAGTGGGGATGAGGCGCATGCGCGAAAGCAGAAGGCGGAGAAAGCATCGCCAAGCCCCGCCTCCGTTGCGGTAAGCTCCACCCCCGGTGCAGAAAGCCCCGCCCCTGTGGTTCTTGGCCGTGTCATTGCGGCCGGGGGGTGGAGCCTCCGCTTCCTCCCTGGCGGGACTGGGACTGGGACTAGCCCTGGAGTCCTGCCCCGGGGTGTCCCCGGCTGCCCCCGCCATGCACGGCGCACTCGCCATCCCCAACGAGGTCTGTAGCCTCCTCGCAGGTACGGCCGGCCGGCGGCTGGGAGGGAAGGAGGAGGAGGAGGAGGGAAGAAGGAAGGAATGAAGGAAGGAAAGAAGGGAGAGAGGGAGGGAGGGAGTGCTTCCTGGGGGGGCGGGCAGTGAGCAGGGCGGAGGGGCGGCCGAGGGGGACGGGCCAGCGGTGAGGGGGGCCGGGCCGGGCCGGCAGGGGGTGTGACGGCCCGGAGTAGCCGGCGCGGCCGGGGATTGCAGGGGAATCAGCCCCTTGAGATGCATCCCCGCCGGAGCGTGCCTCGCTTCCACTTTGTGTGTTCAGGGCTTCCCTCCCCTCGTCAAGTTCTCTTTCCCGGTTACTTCCTCCCGCTGTACCCTGGCAGCGGCCGCCCTCCGGCGCCGGGCTGCGGTTCCCTCCCCGTCGCTTCTCGCCGCACCCGAAATGAGGAAGGAGCGAGGTCCCGCTCCTGGCCTGTCTCTCTGCCGTCGGGCTGCGGCTGGGCATTCGCACCCGCCCGTTGCCTCTGGGCAGGAGTAAGGAGCGTGGGAATTTTCCCCTTCAGGCTGCGTTGCACCGTGCTGTTCCGGTGTCAACAAGGCCCTTTCCCCGAATTAACGGCAACAACCCCCCCCCCCCCCAACTTTCCCGCTAAACAACCGAGGCTAACGATATGGAAGTGAGTTAAGATATCACTGAATTGCTGGCATATTGTCATATCAGTCAAATACGTCTGACTCCGGCTGTCCATGCCCTTACGGGTATGTTGGAGCACAGGAGTGGGACGATTTCTCACCATGAAAGGTTATCAGCAATGGTGTTAGTAGGGACTTAAAAATACCGGTAGTGATGTTCATGTACATTTCACTTTTGAAATTTATTTTGTGTTGTTCATTAAAATAAACTGTTCATTTCCAGTCTGGGATTTCTTATACCTAGAGGAAAAAGTGATAAAAGGCTTTGCTATCCTGAAACAATTTTAATATAAGTGGGAGTCTGTTTTGGGAGCTTCTGTTTCTGCCACTGGGACTTGTGTAGCTCTGATTAAGTCATCCAAATGCTTTTCAAAATCTTCCCGCTGAAATCGACTACTCACTACTGGGCAGAATGTAAAGTAGCTTATCACCTTTGAAGGTTGTTCTTTTTTGTAACACTTTGATTGTAACAGTTAGTGCTTCAAACATTCTGCTCTTACCACATCTTCTCATCTTTAAAGCAATTGTGCCAACTGTCTTAAGTGTTTTGTTAACTGCTGTGGTGAGTATATTGTTTACAAATCATACCGCCTGTAGTAAAATCTGCATCAAAAGTCACCAGAAAAAAAAGGTTTTTGATGATTTCTTATTATGGCATAGATTCTTAATAATAATAGTAAAAAAAGTAAAAATAGCCTTAGATAGCCTTTGTAAAACGCTGATATATTCTGTGACATTACTGTGTTCTGAAGCTTTTGATCGCAGGAAGTGTGTGTGTGATTCAGAGCTATATTCCAGTCGTCAGGTGAAGCTGATCTTGAAATGCTTCAATGTTTTAAGTGCTTCTAGGATTTATTTGTTTTTTTTTTTTTTTAGGGAATGGTGTGATGCAGGTGGAATCATTCAAGACTGTGATTTGTTTGTCATAGTGCCTCATTTTTGAAACTTGTTCTTCTCCCCATCTTTATCCAGTCTACCATGGGAAGAGTGATACAAAAGTTTGTAATTTGAAGTGAAACTGAGAACACCTGTTTTCCCTCAAGGGGGATGTGTGTATGTTATTTCAGAGTCACTATGATCAATGACTTAAGTTAAATATCTAGGTATCTAGGTACAACCCCCTAGGTTGTACTGTGTGTACAGCTTCAGCTTTTCTGGAATGAGGTGGTTTCTTTAGTGTTGTCTATAGAACTGAAGCAAAGAATGGAATGATTTACCTATGATCTTTAAATCTTTGTTATTACGGTAGCATAAATGCTACGTAATACATCTTTACAATTATAAAGGTAGTATTTTCAACTTAATTTGCATTCATACACAAGTCTGGTCTGGTACTCAATGCAAAATTAACTTAACACTTGTTAATTTTATGGCAGCTTAATTATGGAGTAACCAGAAATCAACAGGATGGAAATGGGGTAGGGAGGAACAACTAACAGTTTGTAACTTTTACTTCTGACTTGCAGAATTATCAAAGGGAAATAAATTTAAGGGTAATTCTGGTTGTATAATGTAAAAAATCACTAATCTTTTTTAAAACAAATACGACATTACTTTTTACAGTTTGTGTGTTGTTAACCTCTCGTCTCGTCCCTTCCCCCCCCCCCTTTTTTTTTTGTTTTGTTTCTTTGTTAAGGTGAGCAGTTAAGTGCATGAAATTTAGAAACTGGAGTAATTCAGACCGTATGAGCAATTCTACTGACATGTTTAGGTTCTGTTAATCTTTATTTATGTAGTCTCCTGCTTCTTTTTGCTCAAGCTATTCAAGTAGTGAAGATGTATGGTAATGGAGGAAGGAAGGGAGCTCTGTAATATCTTTACTATTCATTAAGCAACTCTTACACAATACAAGGACTGCAGTGAGTAGGTAGTTATTAATTTCTGCATGCTCTTCTTCGAGGGTGCTTCTTAATGTATTATTTTAATGGCTCACAAGTATTGATTCAGCACCTCTTTGAGATGAGGAAATATTGTTTTCCCGTCTGTAAAATTAGTGTAATAAACAAGATGTGATCTGGGGTTGCAAAAAATAATCAATGGTGGAACAGAATTAGAATTCAAATTCACCTGTCTCCATGCCGTACTAATTTCTCCAGTAAATAAAGTGAGATGGGTATCTATATTCAGTGGCCATTAGAAGTGCTGGGTACTTCTTCATATCAGGTTCTGTTGAGGATATGCAGTTAATGTCTAGCAAGAAGCATCATTTTTTTTTAACCCAGTATTCACATAGCAGTGAGGCAGTGACAGATACAAAATCTCATAAATATTGTGCTCTTCTTCATCTCCTTGGCCTTTTTGCCTACAACTCCCAACTCCTGAAACAAGTGGAGGAGTAATCATATGGATTTCTTTATCCCTCCTTAGCCTTGATTGATTGTTGGAGTACTGTCCAGCCACTATGCTGGACAAGTAAGGGTCCTACTGGAAAACATACTAAGTGCTCCTGTAGTTAAACATGGTGATAATGGGAGTAAACACACCAGGGGATGAATTAAAGTTGCACGGGAAACTTTCTGACTTGGGAGTGCTTTTCTTTGAACCTAAACAATATTATATCTGTAACGTAATAACAAATTCTGTCACACATGCTGGCAGGGTCATTATAGTTGCATGTCAGTGGCACTGAAACGTTCCAGGCAGAAGCACAGCTTGAGCTCAGGGCTAACTGCATTAGCTGGAAACAGGAGGAAGCTGTTTCTGTAAAGTTGAAGGGGAAAGGTCAGTGTGGCAATAGGCTTAAGGCAGAAGACGTTGAGGATTTCACAATCCTGTCCTCTGACTTGTTCAAGTGGTGGGAAGGAAACACTGGAGACAGAAACAGGGTCCTCTGGTCATGGATTGAGCTTTGGGTGGAAGGAGAAAGTAATCTTGTTCCTATCTTCCTCTTTACACCTGGGAGGTGTGTGGCAGTGTATGTAACTTATTTCTTCCCTGCCCATGTCTCTGAACCTTCTAGATGATGCTTGAGATTTTGGGGAATTTAGTGAAGGAAGCCTAGCCCTGTTGTGTCTATTCTTTTGAAAAGGTATCCCCTGTCATGTTTGTATGTTCAGGACCATTCTGTGGGTGTTTGACAAAATAGGATATTACTTGTGTGGTGTTTGTTTATTTGTCAAATTATTATTGGTTATGTAAGTAGTTGGAGGCCTGCTCATTTTTACTGTTCCTTACTCTTTGATGCATGCCCTATGTTTTGGCTTTTCCACAGCTGAGGAGGATTTTGGAGGCTGCTTCTTCCCCAGAGGCATATTATTTTTCCAGTAACACAAATCAGACTCGTTGCTTCAGTTGTCTTGATTGAAAAAAAAAAATAAAAATCTTAATTTTATATATCCCCCTGCCCCCCCCCCCCCCCCCCCAGTAATGGAGATTTAGTTGGAATTAAGAATTCTTTATTTTGTAAGAGTTCTTGATGGTGTCATGATCATTAGATACATTACTGTTTATGTCTTCACTCTCTGTGATACCTGTGACTACAGTAAGGGTCCTATTACTTTTTTAAAAATTCTATTTTTCTTTTCACATTTTGCAGTATTTCCAGTTTGGTTTTTTTTTGTATTCATATTTTAAAAGTCACAAAGATTTTTTTTTTTGCTATGAAAATGGCATAAAACTCTTTCTTGAGTTCATACGGAACCTTATATCCAGTCCCAATTTCCATTTTCCTTGTTCTACTAAACAAGACCCCAGAACTAAACAGAAAACAACATTCTTGTGGTAGACCGTTTCCACCACGAGATTACTGAGTTTGTTTAAATGCTGAGTCATGTTGTCCAAATTGCGGTTTTTTTTCAATGTGATTTTTTTTTTTTTCTTTATTTGAGTTAATATCGTTTGCCCACTTGTTCAGTTACGTCCTGGAAATGGCATGCAGAAGAGGGCAAGGCAGGGAAACTACAAGACAGCAGATCCAGTGTATGAGTTTAATTTTGCTTGCATCTTATTTTTGGCCCTTACAGTAGTTATATTTACCCCTGATGCTCAGAAAATGAACTGTCCTTTTGTGACCTCTTGCCAGCTGTTGCTGGACCTACTCCTTACATTCCTGTCATAGAGAAAGCCACCTGGGTACAGTGTAGCTCTTCTTCATTGGCTGTTTCAATTTTAAAAGGATATTGTTAAAACTTCACTCTTTGCTTCCAAGTATCATTTTCATAACTCCAAGGCTTTAATGAATGCTTGGTTCTTGCTGAAGAATCCATCTTTACAAGATAAACCAGGGTGACTATTGGAGACATTTTCTGAGCAGACATGTATTTACAGCTTTGGTAATATATACGTATTTCAATAGTAATGGAATAAAAATAGAAAGAGTGAGGTGAAAAAATGCAGG